TAATTAGGGGCAAGTTTCATTTAATTTTATTTAACTTCAATTAATAATAATATGAGGTCATTTAATAAAAATAAGTTGCATTTAATACAAATATGTTCACCATTTACTAATAATATGTAACTTTCAGTTAGACAATTTATTTTGACATGTCACATTTTGGATGATCCCCATTACTGTAACTCATTTTTATGTCATGAAATACAAAATATTTTTATTTTTATTTTGATACTATATATTTTTTGGGTATTATATAAATACATATTTCACAACTAATTTAAAATGACTACAAATATCTCTATTTTATATTGCAGTCATACAATAATAAAAAAAAAAATATTATTTCGGAAATTACAAAGATACATCAAATATTTTGAAAATCAAATTCCAAAGTCAAGAGTCGAAGAAAGTTAACTCGGAAATTACAAAGATACATCTAATATTTTGAAAATCAAATTCCAAAGTCAAGAGTCGAAGAAAGTTAACGATAAGGATTTGTTGTGATGAGGATTCTAACTTAATAAAATTACGAATGTTTTATATAAAGAAGTGTTTAATAATATTTAGATTAACTCTTTTGAATAAATTTTTTCTCATTCATTAAGTTATGATTTTTTATTTTATTCTATATTTTTAATTATTTTCTCTTCTAAAACTAGTTTTTTATGATATGATATTTATATAGATGTTTGAAATTCATGTATTTACCATTGTGTATCTATGCCAATGTAACATCTATATATAAGACCTATATTTTTAATTATTTTCTCTTCTAAAACTAGTTTTTTATGATATGATATTTATATAGATGTTTGAAATTCATGTATTTACTATTGTGTATCTATGCCAATGTAACATCTATATATAAGACCTACAAACTTTTCCCTTCAACCATAACAAGTTCTTTTTATGTCATGTTCAAAAAGAGCACTAGCCTACACAAATGGAGGTGGTATTAATTAGTAATTTGGTCGGATAATAAAATTTAAATATTTAAAGCAATATCGATGAAATAAATATGACCGCTTGAAGATGGAAAAATTGCAAAATATATCTAGCAACTTCAAGCAAGTGATAATTTAATACACTATGTTGGTCATTTTCTGAAAATGGTCCATCATATAGAACGTCTTCAAGAAAAATCCGCTAAGTTATCATTTTAATCAAAACTCGTACAAAAGCCGACATAGTGTATTAAATATGGCAACGAAAAATGATCCCTTTTGATACATTATGTCGATTATTGTACGAACTTTAATTAAATTGACAACTTAGTGGACTATTCTTGATGACGCCCTATATAATGGACCTTTTTCGAAAAATGACTGGACTATTTTGAAATTTTGCCATACAAAATGCCCACTAACTAATTGAAATCAAGCACATCATGCCCCAAAATGAGAAAATTAGGTAAAAACTACCCACTAACTACATATAGAAAGTTGCAAAAATTATCCACTAACTTACATATTTGGGCTAAATGTTCCATATGTTTTGTGCAATTATAGAAAAGTTGCTGAAAAAAATATTTTATGTACCCTCCAAACAATTTTTCCTTTTAAGATTGCCAATTTATAGAAATAAACTCTTATGCAATTTATGAAATCTCTTTTTCCCAAAATCACCACACAAACAAAACCGGAAAAAAAAGTTTACGTACTTTCACGTTTATTGTTGAATAAATTTATGGGGAAATGGTACGGTCCCGTTACGGAACCATTTCGCCGGAGTTCATAACTGTTAGATCAACTACCCCGATGGTTACATAATGATCTAATGATTACAAATTCTAAATGAATAGTTCCGTAACTAAACTGTACCGTCTCTCTAAATATAAGTGCCATGATAAAATCATGTTGTTTTCACGGGATACAGTATCGCAGCCATGTACCGTTTTGCTTTTGCTCACAACCACATGAGAAACATCAAAAAGTACCCCATATTCACTCAAAAATCAATACAAATGTTTGTGGTATAAAATAGCTACCTATCCGAGAAGGAACCAAATATCCCAAGCTACCTATCTTCACAAGTATATTTTGTGGTGACTTAAATAAATAAAATAAAAAAAAAAAGATAAAATCAATTCACATGAAACCCGATGGATATATAGCTGAAAGTAGCAATATGGCCTTATTATGTGAATTATTTGAGATTAAAAATTAAGGGTAAAATACGTTTTCCAGTCCGAACTATCACGGTTTTGGCGCATCACCATATAAACTATTTATTTTTACAAACCACCATATGAACTACACGGGTTTGTCAATATGCCCCCTAAACCGGATATAAAAGTGGTTTAGGGGGCACATTGACAAAGCTGTGATAGTTCATATGGTGGTTTGTAAAAGTATTTAGGGGGCACATATGTTGACCAAACAGCTTTTCAGTCAAAACCACTTTTATGTCTGGTTTAGGGGGCAGATTGACAAACCCGTGTAGTTCATATGGTGGTTTGTAAAATAAAATAGTTTATATGGTGATGCGCCAAAATCGTGATAGTTTGGATAGGAAAAAGTATTTTACCCAAAAATTAATTTTATCCCGATTTACAGTTTTATTTTTTTGCAAGTAGAAATTTAGAAATATTTTAAAACTATTTTATGTTGAACTAGTACGGTACCCGTGCGATGCACTGGAGCATTTATCACCTATTTATTTTTTAAAAGATATTTTTGTATTTGAATTGTCTCATGCCAATAAAAAATTCATGAATATGAAATTTATATGTTATTAAACACTTTATTATGTACAACATTATTGATTTGATTGTTTGGCACGTAAAGTACTACATAGATGTTCGAATTTATCCAAAATTGCATATATTAGTTAGAAAAATACTACAGTACATAATAAATGTACATAGAGGTGTACATAACATTCACATGAAGTGGGGTCCACTTGATTTTTTTATTTTCGGTAGGACCCACTTAATGTTTGTGTTATGTACACCTCTACGTAAAATGTTATGTACCTATAGCATTTCTCTATTAGTTATTAGTTAACATATTTTTAAAAAATTAAAGGATCTTATTTATTAAAGAAATTTAAAGTAGAAAAAAGAAGTAGATTTTTTTAGGGATTTTCACCCATTATTTAATTTAAATCTAATTCTAAATTTCAGTAAGAAAAATTGAAAAGAATCATTAGATACTCCTAGAAATGAAACCAATTTTCCTACCAATAATCCAATATTATATATCAAACAAATCGATCCGAATATTTTTTTAAACCAAATAAAAAAAATCATCAATTGTTCCTAACAATGCAACCGAATTTTTCTAACATTGCACCGATTTTTGTACCAAACAAATTGAATTGAAAATAATTCTAATAAGAAATTGAAATAAATTGTTAATGTTTATGCAACTGTCTCTTACTTGAAGAAAATGGTATGAACTTAACAAAAAAAAATGATATGAACTTACAAAAATCTCGGTAAAACATGGTTAAGAAAAAACATAAGAATACAAAAAATTCGATGCATTTAAATTTTGAAAAGTTGCACACAATTTTTTCCTAAATAATTGGATAAGATGATTTTAAATATCAATGATGAACCGTAAGCTTTTGTTACTAAAAAATGTGGACACAATTTTGAATGTACATCCTGTCCAAATATCAGTTTTATTTTAAAATAAAAATTGCATGTGACTTTATCCAATTTATACAAATTTTTTGAAAGAAAAGATTATTCAATAATATGGGAAGAATTGGTTAAGAATTAAACAACTATTTGCTTCCCAAATTTATATCCAATTTGCACGGTTTTTAAATTAATTTGTATTAAGAATTATTTTCATAAAAAAATTGGCACATTTTTGCATAAGAATTTCCAAATTTGTTACCAAAAAAGATATGTTTAAAATTTTGGTAAAAAATTAAATATGATACGAAAAAAATGGGATTCAAATTTTGCCATAAAAATCCCCAAATTTGTTATCAAAAAAATAGGATTTAGATTTTGTTACTAAAGATTCACATGTGTTTTTTTTGAACTTCCACTAATAGTAAGTCAAACATTATATTTATTTGGTCAAACTTTCTATTAACGTATTTTTCCAACAACCTCTTTATACATATAGATGATAAATTAATTCTGAGTGTTATATGTGGAATAATTGTGTTTAAGTAACATTTTGTCTTTGA